TTATTGTGTTAACACACACACACACACACACACACACACATACACACACTCAAACACACACACACACACAAGCAAACACAACCGTTCTCTTTGACACACTCACATGCTGCCAGCACATCCTCCTCACATCCTCAAACACACTCACACTCTCTCTCACACACACACACACACACACACACACACACACACACACACACACACACACACACACATGTCTGGTCAGCTATCCTTGTGGGGACTCTCCATAGGCGTAATGGTTTTTATACTGTACAGACCGTATATTCTATTGCCCTACACCAACCCTACCCCTAATCCTACCCCTCACAGGAAACTTTCTGCATTTTTAGATTTTCAAAAAACTTCATTCTGTATGATTTATAAGCTTTTGTACCCGTGGGGACCACAATTTAGGTCCCCACCATGACACGAGTCCCCATGAGTCTGTGTGTAGTCAGGTTTAAGTCCCCACCAGGATATATAAACCTGTACACACACACACACACACACACACACACACACACACACATACCTTCAGCCTTGTGCAGCTCCAGTGCCAGCTGCTCCCGAGCTCGCTCCTCCTCACACAGACGCTCCTGCAGCTCCTCCTGTCTGCGCTGCAGCTCCTCCATCTCCTCATTATGCCTGAACTTCTCTCTCATCAGCTCCGTCTGCGTGATCCGCGCATGCTCCAGCTGAAATAACGTGGTCAGTATGGTCAAAAACAGCTGGCATTAATCAGGCTTCTGCATCATATAAACCTCATTCAGAATGTACACTGTAATCAAAAACATTGGTTTATATCTGCACACGTTCAATAAAAAGCTGATCTGCTTCTATGAGACCCAGTCAGCGACTGAAGAGTTTCTGGAGTGAATTCTGTTATAGAAATATTATAGAAATGAACAGACGAGCAGAGCATCATAACAGTCTGATGGCCTTCATTGTGATTTTGTGAGCTATTTTGAGGGTCATGAATGAGAAATAACGCTTTATTAAATTACTTTAAAGAATTGCTAAAAACATGTCATAATAAATGCCTAGATACATTTTTACTGTTTTATTTTGGTTTGTATTTATTTTAATTTAACATTTTTATGATTTTATTAATTGTTAGTAAATGTTTTATTTTGATTGTTTTTATTGCAAAATCATTTATTTTAATTTTGCATTTTTATGATTTATTAATTTTTAGTAAGTGTTTTATTTTAATTGTTTTATTTTAAAATCATTTATTACATTTTTACCGTTTTATTTCGATTGTTTTTATATTTTAAAATAATTTTTTTTATTGAGTGTTTTCATGATTTTATAAATAATTTTATTAAGTGTTTTATTTTGATTGCTTTCATTTTTAAATCATTTATATATTTTAAATTTTACATTTATGATTTTATTCTTTTAAAAGTTTACGGTCAATAAGATTTTTTTTTTTTTTAAAGAAATTAATACTTTAATCAAGGCTGCATTAAACTGATCAAAAGTGACAGTAAAAACGTTACAAAATATTTATATTTCAAATAAATGCTGTTCTTGTGAACTTTCTATTCATCTGTGAATCTTGAAAAATCAGTTTCCACAAAAGATTTCAGTTTTCAACATTGCTAATAATCAAAAATGATTGTTGAGCAGCAGATCAGCATATCAGAATGATTTCTGAAGATCACGTGACACTGAAGACTGGAGTAATGATGCTGAAAATACAGCTGCGCATCACAGAAATACATTACATTCTAACAGATATTCACATAGAAAACAGTTATTTGAAATTGTAAAAATATTTCACAATTTTTACTGCATTTTTGATCAAATAAAGCAGCCTCGGTGAACAGAACAGACTCTTTCAGAAACATTTAAAAATCGTACTGACCCCAAACCTTTGAACAGTAGTACACATTATTGTTCATGCTACACACACACAGTCTTGAAAACACAAATGAAAGCCACATTAATGTCAACAAGCTCGTATTCTTGTTCATGTGGTCACACATTCATGTGAAGCTTGTGAGGAGCTTCAACAAAAGCCAGGATTTCTCTGTGACACGACAGCGCGCCTGATCTCGTATGACCAGAGTCTGAGCACAAAACACACACAAACACACCCAGGAATCTCATTACAGCCCAGCCAACGTCTACAAAAGCTCCCAAGACTCTTATCTCACTACACAGAAACACACGCTGTAAAACCCTTTCCCTCTCTAACCGAACGCACCAAAGGTCAAAACCGAGCTCTGGCATCATCCTCTTACTGTATACGGCGGCGTGGGCAGGGAGATCTTGGAGACGACTTTGAGAAGGTGGCTGTTGTCACGCCGGTTGACGTGCGAGATCTGCGTCTGCACGACTACAGCGTTCTTCTCGTGAAGCAGGTCGCTCAGAGGGAAGGGTCGCGGCAGCGGGATGCGTGACTCCACCTCGTAAACATCCATGTCCTGGCTTTCCAGCCAGCTGTCACGCAGGACCTGCGAATCCCAATACGTCCGATAGGAATCCATGTCGTCTTCTAAGCGGCGTCCTGTGAGAAGTTAGAGACGCGTCTCATCGTCGTCAGGCGCGAATGAATCAGAGCGAACATCCCTGGGCTGAGCGAGCGTCTCTATGGAAGTGTCTCGGCGGAGATAAACGCACACAGATCTCACGTGGCCCGTCAGGAAGAACCAGCTTCAGGTAAACGATCGAGTCCCAGACGAACAAGTCGATCCGGAGAGGAAACTAAACTCCAAGCTGTTGCCAGAAATCAGAGTTTGAAACACACTCTCCCGTTCACTTTCCCTCCCGCTGGAAACTCATTAACAATTCCGTGCTTCCGTGGCAACGGTCCTCTGGGAAAACGCAGAGCGAGAGAGACTCCCTCTGCACCTCTCTCTCTCATTCCCTCCCTTTCTCTCTGTGTCTCTGTCTGTCTCTCAGTGTGTGTGTCTCTCTCTCTCTCTCTCTGTGTGTCTGTCAGCCGGAGCAAACACTTCCTGGTTTGTGGACATGTGTGGGATACGTCAACAGTAAAGGTGGAGTCATGAAGCCTGCAGGTTATTTAACACA